GTGCCCCCATCTCACCTGGGCGCCCTTGGCCCCATGCTCTCAGGGACCCCTGGAGACAGGCCCAGGGAGTGCGCTGCACGATGCTTCTCACGCCGCGCAGAGCGCTGGGGGAGACCTGGGCCCGGTGGGTGAAGAAGTAGGCGACTCCTGCTAACGAAGCATGCCAGGGCGCCCCAGCCTCTGTCGTGTGCCGGTTCCAACACCCAGGGTGAAAACGTTTTCCCAGCTGCTTCTGATGGGCCAAAACTCGGACCGGGGAGCCAGAAGGCTCAGGGTCCTGGGTGAGGCGGTCCTACTGTGTATTCATTCGCTGGCCCCTTCGTGTGCAGAGGCTGCGCTGGACCCCGGGGAGCGCCTGCCTTGCTGAAGGAGACATATATGCATCTCTGCCTGTCACACGGGGGGCAGACACAAGGCACGGGCTCAGCTCCCAGGCAGGCTCACAGGAACATGCAAGAAGGGGGTTGAGAGAATTGACTGGGCTGACCAGAGCTGGGTGCAGTTAAACTCCGAAGATTTTCTGGAGGAGGCGAATGTGGGGCAGATTTCCCCGCGAGGAGGAAGGGCCTGGGAAGTGGAGGGGCTGGCAAGCGAATCCCTAGGGAGCTGTAGCCCCTGATCTTTCTGGCTGTTGCTCCGTGAGCTCTGTCATTCCCTGCCTTCCTGTCCTCCCTTCCTCTTTGACGGCCCAGCAGGGCGTCTGCCCTGGCCTTCTGAGCTTGGCAGTGCAGGGACAGCCCCGCCCTGACCCACTCCTGTCACATTGCCCTCACAACCCCTTTGGCCCTTCCAGGTCCCGGGCCTCCTCTGAGAGTGAGTTGGATGATGAAGGCCCTTGTGGTGGTGATGGGGACCCAGGCCTGTTCCCCTTCCCCCTGCCCCGGGGTGGGGCCCAGGCCTCCAGCGAGGAGAGTGAGGAGGAGGGGACATCTGATGACCTCCACCTCCCCCCTGACTGCCATTATGCATCCCGGCCCCCCAGGCCACAGGCGGTAAGGACCTGGGGACGTAGGGACGGGGTGGGGAAGCGGCCCAGCCCTCCCTGCCCACAGTGTGGAGGGGAGGTCAGATCCTGTGTGCAGGTGCCCTCTCTGAGTCTCAGGCCCCGCCAACCATGTACCTTCCTTCCGTCTCCAGTTCTGTACCTTTGGGAGCCGGCTGGTGAGTCCTGGGTGCTACGTGTTTAGCCGCCGGCTGGACCGGTTCTGCTCGGCGCTGAGCTCCATGCTGGAGAGGCATCTCAGCTCACACATGTGGAAGTGAGTCTCTCGGGCTCAGAACTTCCCTCCCCAGGCCCCAGGCATACGTGGGCCTCAGAAGCCCTAATTCTTCACACATACCCATAGATGTGGCTTGGCAGCTTGCCAGGAAGACCCCAGCTAGAAGGAAGAGGAGGTGGGGAAACTTGGCAGCCTGGTGCTGGGCTGAGGCAGGGCATGAATGGTGGTCTGGAAGTGACTCTCGATTCTTATCCATCACTTCCAGTGCCTTTTGGGTAGCTAGCAGTAGGGGATGTCCAAACATTTAAAAGGAAGTTCTTAATGCATCTCTATGCGTGTGCGTTCCTGCTTACCTATCCCTGCGCCTTCCTAACCCTCACTTCCAGCGTCTCCCAGCAGATGGCAGCACTGCCAGGGCTCTGGGCCATTTGTGGGGGGCGGAGAGAGAGTGTGTGTGTGTGTTGGTGGAGAGGCCCTCTTGTTTGCTTGACATAACAGTGATGCCCTCTTTTTGCCGCAGGAAGATCCCACCGGCTGCTGAGCCTCCATCCCACCTTGCCACCTCTCCGCTATCTGCTCCCCTGAGCCCATCCTCTATGGGCAGCTGCCCCCGCCTTCCAGGCCCGCCCCCCAGACCTGCCTGCCCAGCTTCCACGCCCCCCACAAAGGACAGCCTTGTCCCCAGCTACCCTGCAGGCTCCCCCAGTGTGGCAGCCGCCTGCAGCCAGGCGGAGTGCATGGGCGGGAGCCAGGCCATCACCTCTCCGCTGCCTGCCAACACGCCCTCCCCGTCCTTCAGCAAGCTCCCACCTTCGAAGGCCAGCAAGTCGTCCAAAGGCAAGGACGGGGCCGAGGTGGAGGCCCCTTCCCGAAAGCGAAAGTTATCCCCTGGCCCCACTAGTTTCAAACGGACCTGTATCCTGGAGCCCACTGGAAAAGGCAAGCCCTCTGGCTGCCGGGGTCTCTCAGCCAAGACTAAAGCAGCCCTGAGCGTGGGGCTTAACGGGACGGCAGGGCCCAGGGTGAAGCGGGCAGGGCCCCTGGACTGCCGGGGCTCCCCTCACCAGCCTTCCACAGCGGCCAAGGCTTCTCAGCTGGACAGCCGGGGAGCGGGCGGACACCCAGCGAAGGCCCTGCCGACCAGCTGCCTCTCTGAGGAGGAGGTAGCCAAGAAGCGGAAAAACCTGGCCACTTACTGCCGGCCAGTGAAGGCCAAGCACTGCCAGGCTGGTCCCGCTGCCGACGCGGCCTGCTCCGTGCGCCGCAAGAAGCCGGGCCCAGCCCTGGCCTTTGAGGAGAAGTGTTCTGCACTGAAGGTACCCGCCCAGCTCCTGGAAGAGCGCGGGCAGGGAAGGGTCAGGATGGCTGAGGGTGGAGTGCACAGCGGGAACCTGACGCAGACGAGGTGCTGAGTAGACGTTTGTGCAGAGAGGGGAGGAAGGTGAGGCTGACAGGGTTCCCGGGCCATCTTTAAGGAGAGGGGGTCAGCTCTTCTCAAGGCGACCCCAGCCTTTGCTTGCGGGCCTGCTGCAGTCTCCAGCCCTCTCTCTCGGGCCACGGAGGTGCTGCCACCTCTGCTCTCCCTCGCCCACCCCCACCTGTGCTTTAGTCAAAGGGCCACTTTCTGAATTGGCTGTGGCCCTCACTCCAGGAACTGGAGCCCCCGCCCCGTCCCCTGAAGGAAAGGAAGTTGGACTCAACTCTGAGCAGAAATCTTTGGGCTGTGAGGCTGAGCTTGGGCCCCTGAGCTGTGGCCTAACACACTGCGCAGCAGGGCGGGTGGGCCGGTCTTGCTCACTGGTTTCGCCCCGGGCCTCGGGGCGTGGAAGGGCAGGGACACAGCTCAAGGTCCACAGAGGCGTGCGTGCCCACCTTGCACAGGTACCCACTTCCGGGTTTTTGGGTGCCAGGCAAGTTCTCCAGGGTTTCCGGTACAGCCAGCAGCCAGGTTTTTTGGCCTCTGTGGCTAGTGTCCTGGACCAGCACACTAGGAGCTGTCCGTCTGATCTCAGCCAGGAAGGCTGTTACTGGGGGCAGCCGAGGGTGGGGTGGGGGTGGTGGAGCTCTCCTGGGTTAGGCATGGGCCAGAGGCCTGCCTGCACCTCTGGCACCCGCACAAGAGTAGTAAGTTTGGCAGTTGCCTGAGTGCGTGTGTGTGCGCGCACGTGCACATGTGCACGTGGGTGCTCGCCAGGCTGCCCCTGTGGGGCTGGCTCTTGTCCTCCCCCTTGCCCAGCGTTGCTCACCAGGCCAGCAGGACGGAATCAAGCCTTGGCTCTTGCGGTCCCGTCCACACAGTTCACTGGGGAGGCAGACTGGTCCCCCAGCCTGACCCCGTCTCTTGCCTCTTGTCTTCCTGCAGTCAAAAGCCCATTAACGAGAAAGTGCCTGCCCACTTCGACGGAGCCGCCAGCACCTCCTCCCCTCCAGATCCAGGCCCCAGGCTGCTGCCGCTTTTTATAACTTTATATTATTTTTTTTAAGAAAAAAAACTCTTTAAAATACCTCAAGACTGTCTCCCTGTTCTGTTGCTGCTAAGGAAATATAAAAACCGAAACACAGAAAAGGGAGGAAGGGAAAACACGTAACAAAATGAGTGTCCTTACTGTCCCCAGTCATACCTCAGGAGACTAAGATGATAGACAGCCAGACTCCAGCTCCCTCTCTTTGTCCCTTGAAACACTGTGGAAATGGCTGGGATTTGTATTATTGGGGAGTCTTCCCGGGCAGGATGATGGGGCATGGCTCTCAGTGAGCAGGGACCCCCAGAATCTCAACCTCCACCCCGGGAAGGGAGCTTCACGGGGAGGGAGCCACGCTTCTATTTCTGTTCTTGGACATTTGCCCAGAGGGTCTGTGGGTGTCAGCCGGTGGCCCTTTTATGGTCTTTCAGCAACCGTGGCCCTCCATGGCGTCTGATTTGTTGCTTCATTTCTTCAGCTGCTCTTGCCGCTTTTTCTCCTCTGCTGCAGGGGCTTGAATTGAGTTGGTAACTGTTCTCAGAATGTCCCTACCTGTTTTGGTCTCTCTCTCCCTGGCCTGTGGGGTTGCCCTTAAGGAAGGGGTATAGCCTCTCTTAGATGGGCCCCACCTTTTTTGGAGGCAGGAAGGGAAGTTACGATCACTTAGCTCCCTGGGTGTGGGAGGCCCTGGTCCCTTGGGATCGCCTGGCTCCCAAGGGCTGAGCAGATGGTGTGATGGTGGCAGGGGCTGCGAGTGCCCTAGTTCTTCCATTTATCTCACTGGGGACAGCTGTGCAGATAAGAGTATCAGACTGCTGGTCCTCGAACCTGATTCACTGAGTCGCAGGGCACTGTTTTTCCCCTTGTCCTTTCCTTTCCGCCTCCTTGCTTTAAGGGAGGGAGGAATCTTATTCCCCTGTAAAGACAGAAGAAGGGATGGTAGGAGAGAGTGGGCAGCCAGGGAACTCCAGTATTCCTGGAAAACTGCTGAAAACACTGGTTCCAGAGTCTTGGTTCAGGGTAGCAAGTTTGTGACTTGGGGTTTGGGTGAAGTCAATTGCCATAAGTGTAATTTCCACAGGCTGCATGAGACATGAGCCCTTGTAGACAAAGATACTATGAGGTTGGCTTAGGAAACACAATGGGCCAGGAGCTGTCCAGTGCCCCACGCCCTCGGGGTTCTCCCCGGCGACCCGCTTTCCCCCCCAGCCCCCAGAGGGCGCTGTGGGCGCAGCCGCCACTCCGCCGGCGCCGGGGGGCGGAGCCTGTCCCGCAGCTCGGCGCCTCAGCGGTCGCAAACCCGGAAGACGCGCTCCGGCAGCCGGGCGAGCGCGCCGGCCCCGTCCGGCCATGCAGACCCTGGAGGTAGGTCTGGTTCCCGCTCCAGCGAGGGAGCCGAGACTGACCCGCTGGCTGCGGAGAGGCAGTGTTATCTTGGCGCACCTGGTAGCTTTGGGCTTCACCATCTTTCTGACTTTGCTGTCCCGGCCGGGAACCAGTGAGTGTGCAAGGCGGGGCGGGGCCAGGGAAGGGGGTGGAGCCGAAGGGGTGGAGCCGAGGTGCTGGAGGGGCAGCGCTTGGTAGCGCGGGGAGGCTTGGTGTGGGGACCCTCGTCTGGGAGTGACGAACCGTGGAAGGGTAGTAAGGGCGTGGTGGGGCGGGGCTCTGGGTGCTGAGGAGGCGAGGCCGAAGACCGAACTGAACTCACTAGTTCATCCTAAGCAGAGCCCCTCGTGGAGGATGCAGGGAGAGAACCCAAGGTCCAGTCCGGAACTGGGCTGACAGCCGCAAGTGCCCGGCGGGGGACCCAGGCTAAGCTGGTGTGGGTTTGACCTCCGGGTTGCTCAACTTAAAGCCCCTTCGCTGCCCCCCTTTGCCCTGAGATTCCGATTCCTGATTAGGGCTGGGACAGTACACTGACCTGTCCCCTGTAGCTAGATTCTTTGGGCTCCAGCCAGCCTCAGGGGCAGAAACAATGGCGCCCAGCCATCAGTCTGTTCTCTTTGATTCTTAGGTCTTTTCTCCTGGCACCCTGTATTCATGGCCTTGGCGGTGAGTTTGGGCTTCTTTATGCAGCTGATTTGTTTGGCTATGTCCCTAGGGAAGCATCCAGGCTTCAGAAGGCTCAGCCTTGCGAAGGCTCATGGAAGTGGGGGAAGTAGGCAGGGCTCCAACTTTCCCGACAACCTTTCGAGATTGAGAAACACGGAGGGCTGGGCTGTGTCAGGTAGTTGAGGGGGTGGGAGGGCATGGACGGTATTTCTCCACTAGGGCCTGAGAGGAGGAAGTGAAAGGGGTGGTATCTAGTCACTCCTCCCCCAAAGTTCTGGAGGAAGTTTTCAACATTTGCTGTTGCCATTGGCCAAGAAATGGGAGTCATTGCCTGGGCTAGGGGGAGGGGCACGTGGACTTGGATGTCAGCCTGAGTGACAGAGACTTTCTCTGGGGTGCCAATTCCCAACTGTGCCAGCAATGGGGACCTGTGAGGCAGGAGGTCCTAGTGAGAGTCCTTTAGCCCCCACCTTTTGTCCTCCTTGTTGTCCGGGTGTGTCCGAGAGCACCTCCCCCGACGCAGGCTTCCCAGCCGGGCCACGGGCTCACCGGCCCTCTCCTGTGTTCACAGTTCTGCGTGTGCATGGCAGAGGCCATCCTGCTCTTCTCGCCTGAGCACTCCCTGTTCTTCTTCTGCTCCCGAAAGGCCCGGATCGGACTCCACTGGGTGGGGCAGACCCTAGCCATCCTCTGTGCCGCCCTGGGCCTGGGCTTCATCATCGCCAGCAAGACCCGCAGCGAGCTGCCCCACCTGGTGTCCTGGCACAGCTGGGTGGGGGTGCTGACGCTGCTGGCCACGGGGGGCCAGGCACTGTATGGGCTGTGCCTCCTCTTTCCCCGGGCAGCCAGGGTCTCCAGGGTGGCCCGCCTCAAGCTCTACCACCTGACTTGTGGGCTGGTGGTCTACCTGATGGCCACGGTCACGGTGCTCCTGGGCATGTCCTCGGTGTGGTTCCAGGCCCAGATCGAAGGTGCAGCCTGGTGCCTGTGCCTGGCGCTGCCCCTCTACCCGGCTCTGGTGATCATGCACCAGATCTCCAGCTCCTACCTGCCAAGGAAGAAAACGGAAATGTGAGTCCCTCCGAACTCTGAATCTAGTTGGTACACTTGCCTTGGACATCAGTGGTTCCTTTGGTGACTTTCAAGGGCTCCACTTCCGAAGCGGTAGGGTTTTTACGCTTGGCTGGGCCGCGGGGGTGCGGAAACCCACGGCCGACAGCCGACTCCGTGGACCGAAATGGGGAAATTGACTGAGTGCGGTGGGGAGCTTGGCCCCGAAGCCTCCACTCTGGATGGGGACAGCAGGGTAGGGTGCCGCTGGTGCTGGTGGTGCGGTCGTTTCTTGTTGCTTGCCTGATGGAGAGTGGGTTCCTGTCCCTCGTGAACGGCAGCTGCGGCTTTTGGGTCACTTTTGAGAAAGCAGTGTGGTGTAGCAGACAGCGCCCCTGCATCTTGATTGTGGGTTTTGGTCCTTGTAAGTGCTATTCTGTGACCTTAGGCAGGTCACATGCCTTAGGACCTCAGTTCCTTCATCTGTGTAGTGAGCGTTTCCCAATGAGCTCTAACGTTCAGTGTGTCAGGTTGGCCTCACAGGACACCCTTCCAGCTCCGGACTGTGGGCTGGGCCGCTCCGAAGACTCGGGAAGTAATTCTTACATTCACTAGCCCCTTACCCCTCCGGCCTGTCAGAAACCTGTGTTGATTTGGCCCCGGACCAGGGCACAAGGAGCCAGGCACTGTGGACACTAAGGGAAGGGGCCCGGGTGAGGGTCCCTGAGCTGAGACAGTGAAGGCACTGAAATCACTTTAAAGCTTTGGGCGAGCAGAAGGGCACCGGCTACCCAAGGCTCGGCTCCTGGCCGGGCTGCTGGGCCCAGCCAGGGTCTTCCCCGACCCGGCTCCATTTCCCCGACATCCCCCCTCGGTGGCAGAGTTGTCCAGGGCAAGTGCGCATTTTGCCTTCCTGGGCTCAGGTGCTTAGCACACAGCTTCGTGGAGCCGTCCCGGAGCTCCTAGAACAAAACAAGAGCCCAGGAAGCGAGCAGGGCTCTTCTGATCCAGGGAAGATCCCCCTTCCTTGTCGCCTAAGCTTTCCTCTCTGTTGTCTCTGGCCTTGCTCTGGCACAGCAGGGGGCTGAGTTAGGTGCCAGCTGGGAAACGTGGGCTGGGCCCTCTTCCCTGCAGAGACCCCCCGCGCCCCAACCTTGTTCCACACTGAAAGCAGTTTCCCAGACGGCCCTCAGCGGCGAGGCCCAGCTGCCAGGAGGGCTCACTGATCCAGCTCAGTTGGAGGGATGGGACCTCCGTTGATCATGGCAAGGACGGAAGGTGGCCGAACCAGGAGAGCTGGTGAGGAGGGAGCACCAGGGGCTGGAGTGCCAGGTCCCAGGACCAGCAGGGGGAGTGCCTAGGTGGCGGCGTTTTGGATGTCCCGGGTCCTTGGAAGATTCAAGACCTCTTCTCTGGGTGGCTCCGATGCAAGGAGTTGGTATGATTCCACAGTACAGGCCGGGGACTGCAGATGCAGAGGCGTCCCCTGCATGGACTCACTGGGCTCCCCTTGGGTCAGATGGCATCTCCCAGGAGCTCTTTAGACCCTAAGCATGGGAAGGGGCCCTGCTGTGCAGATGGCGATTGGCTCTTTAATTGTCCTCTCTCCCCTCTTACTGACCAGTGTGGTCTGAACTTGGGGGAGAGGGTTACTGGGGCTGCCTGGAGCAGAGTCTCACCTGGGAGCCCTCTGATCAGGGATCCCATCTTCTCTCCGCCAGGCACAGCCAGTGCGGGGAGCCTTACCCTGTCTGCAGCCGGGAGAGCAGGCCGGGTAAGGCCCCCGCTGGCTCCGGGCGCCGCGCCTGCCTGAGGTATTGCCTCCTCCCAGGTGGTTCGAGGCTGGTGGGCGGCGGGCAGGCGGGCTGACAGCCAGCAGTTTGCGTGGGCTGTGCCAGCTGATGTCTATTCCCAGCCCTGGGAGAAAGGGGGGGGGGTCATTTACATTCTGCAGGAGGAAGGGGCCCAGCTGTCCCCTCTCTGACCAGGGCGCCAGGAGGGCCGGGGCCGGGGCAGAGGGCAGAGGGGGCCACAGGCGTTCTCTTTAGCCAGCCTGACTGCAGTGTGGGGAGCAGGCCGACAGGAGGAGCCCGTCTTCCTTGCAGGCCAGACTAGGGGGGACTGCCCTCCCCTCCCCTCTGCACTTCTCCCTCCTGCACCACCTGCCCTCACGTCCTGGGGCAGCAGCTGGCCAGCCGTCAGCCCTGGTGCCAGGCCCCATCCTCCAGCTGGGATCGCAGGGGCTGCCGGCTGCGTGTGCCCCTCCCCACGTGCTACCCACCCCGTACTTCCCCATCTGGGGTGTTAGTTGGGCGCCTCAGGGGTGAGGCAGGGGCCTGGGAAAGAAGCAAATGGCTGCCCTTTTGCCCTTGTCCCCTAAGGAAAGCTGCTGGTAGTCAGCCTGTTTTGCCTTTTTTAAAAAAAGCCAGGGTGCTCCAATTAAAAAAAAAAAAATGCATGTCATTTGCACAAATTTGCATATCAGGCTCACTAAGTCCTGGTTCCAAATATGATTATATTCACACTCAACGTTGAGGACATTAGAAATAGCGAAGGTTTCTGTATCCAGATCCAGATGGTAATAGGATTACCCTTCTGGGTTCAGATGCACCCCCCCCCCCCCGTGCCCCATCTTTTCCAGAACCTCCCCTTCCCTTGAGCCCCATAGGGGCGGGGGTGGGGGTGAGGTTGTTGAAGGGCAGGAGCTCCAAGTCCGGGGAAGTCTCTGGCCTCACCTTCGGGGCTGGCAGCCGTGGCAGAGGTGGGCTGGCATCCCTGGCCAGCCCGGCCTCCTCTCCCCACCCTTGCCCAGGGCAGGCCGCCCCGCCCCACTCCCTGGCACTGGCCTGTCCCTTCTTTCTCATGGTCCTCACCCTGACACCCCCGTGCATGGCTGCCCTGGGTCTTGTTTTTAAACCTCGCTGTGGGCGATCCAGGCATCCTCCCCGAGCCAGCTGGCTGCCGTGCCGAGGTCTGTTCAGAGTTAATAATAATCATTAGCTGAGCAGAGCTGGCTGGCCCGCTCAGCTCCAGACCTCTGAGCGCTGGCAAGCTGAGTCAGCCAGCCCTCACCTGCCCCTCCCCGGTGCCAAGTGTCACCCGGTGGGAGGCACTGTGCGAGGCCGGGGGTCAGGAGTCTCCCCTCCCTGCCGAGGCGTGAGGTTTCTTTCCCCTGGGAGTGGCCCCAGAGTCCTTGGAGCGAGCCACCAAGGCTCTTTCACCCGAGGGAGGTAAAGGTGTAGGGAACACAGTGGGCGCCCCGCTGACGCAGGTAGTTACTGGCAGTGGCGGCTGTTGACCCTGGCCCTCTAGGCCTCCTGCCCTTCCTTCTGTGTGTCTGACTTCCAGAGGACACCTTGTCCTGACCCTGACCTCAGCCTCCCTGGCGGCCCCCTGCAGGCTTGGGGAGTGGGAGGCAGAAAGAGCCCTGCCCGCGGCCGGAGGTGAGAAGTGGGCTGACCTGGGAACGAGCAAGCCTGCCATCCCTCGGGGTTCACTCCTGACACGGGTGTGGCTGTGAGCTAATCACTTACCTTGAGACCCACCGCCCCGGGAGGCTGTGAGGGTGAGGGGAACGCAGGCAACAACACTGGGGAGCTCAAAGCATTAAATACATGTAAACAGACAGTGTTTCTGTGTGCTGGTCCTTCTTCCTCGCGCTCTCCCTCTGCCTGGCTCGGGTCTGTGCTTCTTTGAGGGAGGCCATGACCAGTTACAGGTAATGGCACTGAGGGGCCCCAGGCCTCAGAGGGGTTGTAATGCCGGCCGGCGGAGAACGCACATTCCTTCCTTCTGGATGCAAGGTCAGCTCTCCCCGACTCCTGCCAGGAATGCCACCAAGGCTGTGACTCTCAGAAGCTTGCCTTAAGGGCTGCCCGCCTGCTGTGATCGAGTCACCGCGCTGATGGGAGGCCTGGGAGCCGGCTGTCCCCTAGGTCCAGCCTGGAGCTCCCAGGGCTGGTGGCTCTCTCTCCTGCCCACTTCGGCTCGTCTGAGGGGAAGGAAAGCAGGCGAGCCAGGGTTGGCGGGGGAGCAAGAGTAGTGGACACGGCCGGCCACCGACCCACATGCCCCAGGCCGAGCACTGCCCGCCTCAGGCCCCCACACCAGACGCTGAGCACACTGAGCTGCGAGACGTGGCCCAGCTGTCCACAGGTCTCCCTCTCCTTGTTTCAGACCCTTGGAGTAGGGTCACAGTCCCCTCCTCTCCAAAGCGCTTTACTGGAATTAGCGCGCGCGTGCGCACACACACACCCCTACACACACACACACTTCACCCCCTGAAAGCAGTTCTGTTTAAATTTTAAATTAGGGGAAGGATGCCTTCCATTCCATTTGTCTGAGAACAGCCAGCAGTCTGCCTGGAGAGGACACAGAGGCAAGAACAGCAGCCGCGCACAGCCTTCTGGGCTCGCTTTTTTATCTTTATTGTTATTTTTCTGCCCTGGGATCCAGGAACAGAGCACCAGTCCGGCCCCATGGACATAGCCTCGGCCATTCTCCCTAGAATGAGCCGGCAGGCAGGAGGACGGGGCCCTGGGCCGCCCGGAGGGTGGGCTGAAGTGGACATCTCAAACACCTGGCTAAGCTGCAAGCACATGCTTCACCTCCAGTAAGACAGCCTTCCCCTGCCCAGCCACGCAGAAGGCGTGGCTAGTCACCACTGTGCTCGGTATGAGAGTCTCAGTTTTTAATCTGCTATTGTCAGAATGTCCCAGATGGTTTTTTTAAACCTCTGTTGAAAGCAGATTAAGTAGCCACTTCAGGCTGTTCTCTGGTACCAGAGGATTCAACTATTTGCCTCCCTGAGTATACGGGAGGGGCCCAGGGCCCTTCTCTCTAAAGCAGCTTCCCTGGTGCCCTGCAGTGCTTTCTGAGCATGCCCAGGCCTAGGCAAGGCCCTTCTGCTCACACCCACAGCACAGGCCAGCTCCGGCCAGTGAGGGAGCAGGGCAGGTGGAAGAAAAGCGGCACGAAGTCCTGCCCAGACCCCGTGCCCCTGACCTGCGTGCCTGTCTGCACCTGCATGTGCACCATGCCCCCAAACTCTGGGTCACGAACTCTGACCTTCCCTACGCCCACGCCGCACCTGGAAGCACCCCTGCAGGGCTCCACAGCCTGGCTCACTGATGGTCCTCTCCGGCATGGGTCTGTGTCCTCTGGTTCTGGGAGGGTAGCTGGTTGCAGATTGAAAGGCCCCAGGGCCAGTCTAAGCGTCTTTATCACTTGGTATTTTCCACCCAGCCTAGTGTGGATGAGCCCGACAGACGGGGCTGGACATGGTGGCTGGTTTGCCTTCCCCCGAGTCCCTGGGAGAGGAAGCACCCAGCAGGCTCGCTGCAGCCAAGCCAGAGAAGCCCGCTGTCCTACTGCACAGGCCCAAGCCTTCTCTGCAGCGTGGGCAGGGCCAGGGAAGCCTCCCCGGTGGTTTCCTGGGAGACAGGCTGAGCTGAACAAGAACTACAACTGCAGAAAGGGAAGGAGTTGAGAGAGCAAGAGGAGGGGAGGCGAGGCTGTCACGGGAGCCTCATCCACTCCCCTAAGGTGCCACCGAAGAGGGACCAGGGGAAGTGCTGCAGAACGTGGCAGGCAAAACTGCACAGCTGGGCCAGAAGCTAATGACGGGGGAGGCCATGCAGCCGCGGACTTCCTTGGGATGCTGGAGAAAGGAGCACCAAAACTTCCCAGGCCGAGACAGGGCTGGGCACAGGCCAAAAGAGGGGGGCACTGCCCCGTGGTCTGCCCCAGACCTATTCTTTGCCAGCTTCACCCTCTTGGAGAAACTCAGCCAGAGCAAAAACTCCGAAAAGGTGAAAAATGCCTATACCTGTGGGGCGGGGCGGGGCGGGGCGGGGCAGGGCATGGGCGAGGGTAGTTAGCATCATCTGTTACTTCGTTGACTGCCAAGGTTGATGTGTCTGATGTGGCTGGGCAGTGTCTCCTCCCCTCGTTCCACACAAAGGAGGGCCGCCCTTTGGTCAAGATTTTTTTAAGTGGAAGAAATTAGGTATTACCGAAATTTAGATTCTTTTCATCTTTCCTAACACCATTTCCCCTTCCCTTATGGAAGCTACCATGACAGCCCCCTTCCAGAGGCAGCAAGAGAGAAGCCAAAGGACTTGCATGTTCAGAGTGCAGTAGAACCCAGTCCGATTTCTGGTGGGCTGTGTCTGTACCAGCAAAGTGGGGAAGGCGCTTCTCTGTTCTGAGCCACGCTGCGCACACGTTAACTGTCGAGGACTATTAGTCTGCCCATCAGAGGAACAGATTTTTACGACTACGATGGTCACCATTGACAGTGTGTAAGTCTACTAGTAACAAAGTATTGTGTAGGTGAGCCGCTCGCCACCATTTCTTTGAACCCAGTCCAAGCACTTTCCCATAGTACCATTCGTAGGCTTGTTCTAGAAGGTTAACGAACTCTGCAGGGAGGCCAGCCTCCTCCCCAGGGTGCGGGCAGCCTTCATTACCTGCAGGCTCTCGCCTGCATCATGGAATTTCTAAACTCTCCTGCTAAGGCACTGCTGGCATCTCCTCCAAAAATTCATCTAAACTTTGGTCTGCTGGCCCAAACCGGCCGCTGCCAGATTTGGTATAGTCTGTGAGCTAGTAAGAGTTTCTACGCTTTAAATGGTTGAGGCAACTCAAAAGACATGTTAAGATGATGAACTCCACATTTGTGTCCACAAATAAAGTCTGGACCGGAGCCGCATTCATTCATCTAGGTCCTGTGTGTGACTTCCTGCTGCATCGGGCGCTGCTGAGTGGCTGTCACACAGACTACGGGCTGCAAAGCCCAACAGATGATCTGGGTCTTTATAGAAAACGTTTGCTGACCACTGGTCAGTCCTAATGCCTGGATGTGCATGTTTACATGCCTTTATAACAGCATTTAAATATTCTCTCCCTACGCGGACCACACCCTCTGAGGTACCATGACCCCCACCCACAGGCTGAAGAGAGAAATAAACCAGCCACACACTATGCCAGAACAGGAGACTCAAGCCAGGTTTAATGATGGCTGTCTAGTTTTCAGAGCCCGGAGGCTGCAAGGTTGGCCAGCGTGGGTGTACACGGGGAGGAGCAGGGCCCTGGACACAGGGAGCCGGCTGGCTTTGCCAGCAGGGCTCTAGGGGAGCACAGAGGTGAGAGCACACAGAAGACAGGTCAGTCGGCTTTGCGCTCCCCAAGCTGGGGCGTACCCTCTCCTGGCCCCTCCCTCGGAGCCCGCCCTGCAACCCTAGGCAAAGAAAGGAGGTCACAATCACATAGACTGTTGAGCCTTGTCGTATTGTCTCCAGGGACACCTGCTTCCTGGGAGCCATGCCTGGTTTATGGGTGTGGGAAGGGATGGGGGGGGTGATCTCTCAGTCTGTTCTTAGAACCACACTGGGCAGTTTCCTACACAGGTTCTGGGGAGCGTACGTATGCTGAGAACTTGGTCCCCCAAGGAGAAGGCGACCTTTGGGTTCTACGTACTGAAACCACGGAGGAGTCTAATCCTGCAGTCTGTTTTGGGAGGGGTGGGCAGCCAGGCACCCTACCCGTGTCTCAGATTGGGCCACACTGGACAGAGGAAAGAGACATACAGTCTGGGGGTCTTTTCTTACTCCCCAGCTTGGGTAAGACTTCTGAAGAAAATGGCCTCCTCACCCCGAGAACTCAGCTAGGACGCCCCAGACGGCCTGCTCTATCTGACATTCACCCGCGATTTTCAGACCCTAGGTAGCTTCTTGAGGGGACGCCCCAGCACAGAGATGAGTCTTCCCCGGGCTCCCTGCAAAGTGAGCAGGGGAGCCCCCTTTCTCCCTGCGGGCCTCTGGAACCTAACCAGACCACCTCTCCCCCCGCCGCTCCCGTCCTACTGGGGCAGTTCACAGAGGGAGGGCAACTGACAGCTGCTTGGTCCCCTGCCACTTTCCTCCGGGTCCTCCCTTGCCCCAGCTGTCTTTCTATGCCTCATCTACTGTCTTTAATCCAAGGAAGGTTTCCCAGGGCCTGAAGAACTGGCTGGCTCATTGCGCATCTCCTGAGGCCGTCAGCCTGCAGCTCTCCTAACTCCAGGCCCTGAGGAGCACTCGTGTGCCACGGAGACGTGGGTGAAGCTTCAGAGACCTCGGAATGAATTCAAAGGACAAGAGTTTATTTGGGGAGCCTGGCACGATCACTGTCTCCTACAGGGCAAGAAAATGCGCACGTCGAGTTGCGCGCACAGGTGGAGACCATTCTGAAAGGCCCTCAGTGGGGACTGAGGAGTCACTGTCCGGATGAGGGTCAAGGGGCCGTGTGCATGCACACCCAGACGCATGCATACCTACGCGCATGCAAGTGCTCGAGGGAAACGTGGCACTTCTCGACAAAACTGGGTACTGAGAAAGGATGGACAGCGGCCTTGACCTCCCAGGAGCGGACGGGGGAAGACGTTGAGCCCCGGGCCCCTTCCCCAGCAGAGTCAGGCCCTCTAGTGAGCGGCTCTCCTCCCGCAGGGATGTGACATGTCTTGGAACTTAAAGCATGGGTTAGAACACCAGGAGACCTGGGCAACGCCCACTGGACAAGGAGCTTGGTGGGCGAGAGGGGACTGACCGAAAACGACCAACGACAGAGAACATTTCCACCTCTGCGCTGCTCGTGCCCTCGACACAGCTCAGAGCAGCCATCCCACGGCTTACACCGGTCACGGGGAGAAGTTCGAGGGGGTGGCCGCCGCCGCGCCCTAAGTAGTCTGTAACCCTGGATGGGATGGAATGGCGACCTGTTCTAAGTTCCTCCGGCCTGGCAACTGCGACAGCACAGACCTCTGGCTGAAAGCGCCGGGGGTGGCAGAGCTGCCCTTCTGAAGGTTTAGTGCCACTGGCTGCCTGTTGCAAGCCTGCCTGAAACCTTGTGGAGACACAGGACTCGAAGCCACACCAAACTGCTGTGCTGGGCAGACACCACAGTTCTGACCCCTCAGGTGACGGACCCGTGCTTTGGCTTGGCAGCAGGGGCGAGATCTCTGTGAGGAGCAAGGCAGCCCTACCAACACAGGGGAGACACCTACCTCCGCATCCCCAAGCCCCGTCCAGCCCAGCCGGGACCACTTTACAGGGCTACCCTCCGCAGAGCCGTACGTCAGAGAAAGCCCAGGGTCCCACCCGAGCTCGATAAGGAGGCTGAATGAAGAGATGGTGTACCCGCTAAGTCAGGTGGGGCCCGCTGGGTGCTATCTAAGAGGGGGCTGAGGCACCCTCCTCGTGCGTGTGCCAAGTGGCCCCCATCACACGAGGTGGCAGGCGTCCTTCAGCAACCCCCGCCCTGACCTGACACACAGGTGCTGGGACCACACGCTAATCTGGTTTCACCAGCTGGGATGTGAGTCAGTCTGGAGTTCACCCCCATCTACAAGCCATGTGCTGCGCCTATGCCGCGGACCCCGCCGCGCCACCGGTCCCAGGACAGAGCACGGCCACCGCATCTCACGTCGCTGCCCTCTGACAGGCAGCAGGCCAGGCGCCTTGGGAAACACGAAGGCATCGGGGAAGCGCCGCAGCAGCTTGGGGGTGTGCGTCCGCTGCAGGTCTCAGCCTCTCCGGCCTCATTTCCCCAAAGGTTTCCAATCTCCCCCGCTGTGAGGTGCGACTTCCTGGCCAGAGAGGACACTACAGCTCTCCCTGCATGTGGCCCCTGTGGAAGCTCCCCCAACACACCCAACATCACAGGTGTGGGTGGACAGAAATAGAAAAAAAGGGATGTTTTCCCCCCAAATGACTTTCTCTTAAGGAGCTAGGGATGATCTCAAAAAGTTTAGGGAATCTACTCTTCCCCCCACCCCCTCCTCATTCCCACCCAACTCGGACACACCCCTCCTCCTCCGCCACACTGACAAACGCCAGGGCTTTGGGGAGGGGTGTAGCATTTGCCTGAGGACTGATACATCCGTATCTGAAAATCATGGCAGCCACACCCTGGCTGGGGTCTTGCTTTCTGCTGTACCCGTGACCAATTATCTTGAGGTCAGGGGGAACCCACTCCCTGGGGCAGCCAGACCTCTCTTCCATCCCCTCAAATCCTTCAGGGGCGCATTACCTCTCCTGGGGCACAATCTCCCCACCCACCTATCCTGCTCACACCACAATGGGCGTATCAGAGAAGACCGAGCTGACCGACTCCGGATCCGACATCCTCCGCTGGCCCTTGCCTGCCGCCTCAGGCACCGGCAGGGTGTTGCCTGGCTTGAGCTTGCCATTTTGACCCTGCCCGGGTCCAGCAGGTTCCAGGAAGGCCACCCGCCGGTCAAAACCATCGTCCTTGTCCCCACCGGCCATAGGATCGTGGTTGGGTGTGGTACTCAGCATGGATGAGCTAAGGCTGTCTCCTTGGTGGCTAGAAGGCTTCTCAACACCCCGGCACCAGCAGCGACAGGGGGTGAGGTACAGGTATATGAGGACCAGGACCACACTGAGGATACAGCCCACGAGGGTGGTGTAAGCTGTGTTGAGGGTGTCATGGTGTCCGTACTTGGTGAAATTGTGTATCTTCAGCTCCACAGACAGGGTCTCATTGAAAGCCTCCCCGGTGGCGTAGCAGGTGTACACACCCCCATCCTCGACCTGTACCCGCTGGAAGTGAAGACTGCCATTCTCGAACACCGTCACTGTGCTGTTGGCCCCCGCATCTAGCACGCGTTCGTTGCTGGGTGTCAGCCACACCTTAGTCATCCCCTGCTGCTTGGTGTCACAATGGATGGTCAAGGTGTCGCCCAGGTAGGCCACCCGGGCATGCTCCTTGTACTCGCTGCAGTTGAGACTGAAGACACTGTGCAGCTTCTTGGCGCTCACGCAGTGCAGGTCCTCCTGGAAGTCTACAACGGGGCTCAGCTGCCGGTGCTGCCAGTGCGCGAAGAGCTGGTAGAGGTCACAGTCGCAGTGCAGGGGGTTGTTATGCAGGTACAGCCCATTCTTGACCCATGCGGGCAGCTCCTGCAGCTGAGGCAAGGGCAAGGTCTTCAGCTTGTTGGAGGAGAGGTCCAGGAGCGTCAGCTTGGGGAGCCTGACCAGTTCCAGGGGGAAGCGGGAGATCTGGTTCTGGCTCAGGTAGAGTTTCTGCAGCTGGGGCACATCCTCGAAGGCCGAGCGGTCCACGGCCATGATGTGGTTATTGTAAAGCAGCAGCACCTCCAACACCTGCAGGTCGCTGAACAGGGACTCGTCCAGCGTCCGCAGCTGGTTGGAGGAGAGGTCCAGGTATCGCAGCTTGGGTACCGGGGAAAAGGCCTCCGAGGAGATGAAGTTCAGGTGGTTGTGGCTCAGCAGCAGGGAGTGCAGGTGGGGCAGGCGCGTGGGGGTCCACTCCGCCCGCAGGCGGCTCAGGTTGTTGTGGCTGAGGTCTAACAGAGCCGTATAGGTGGGCAGGGCGTGGGGCACGTTGGGCAGCTGCTGCTTGGAGCAGCTGAGGATGTTGCTGGCGCACAGGCAGGCGGCAGGACAGCTAACCAGGGCCCGGCCAGCTCTGGCCACCTCACAGAGGAGCAGGAACCAGGAGAGCAGCAAGAGCCAGAGGCCTCGCAGGTCACGCCGGGGTTGCATAGTGTCACTGGGAAGGGCGAGGAAGGCCACCAGGAAGATCTGGGAAGGAGGTCACCGAGGCATGTTCTGGTGGGGTAAAGAAGGTTCACTTTACTACAGGCTTGAGAGAGAGAGAAGGTGGGTTTCAGGGCACCAGGACCAACAGAGGGAAGCACGGGTTCTCCCTCTTCCCTTCACCTTACTCCCCACCCCGCCCCGCCAACCCCACCGGGCACTATGCAGGCAGTGGGCTCAAATGCTGGGACAGAGGAGGAGGTGGACACAAGGGCCTACTGCGCCGGGGTCACAAGAGTGCAAGATGGGGGGACAAGCGCGGGATGTCCGGCATTGTTTGTTTCACAGAGGCTGCCTGGGCCGGTTTGGAGGCGGGGTCTGCAGGGCCTCCGGGAGGCGATGAGGGAAGGTCAACAGGGCGCCGGCTGGGTCGGGGGACCCCAACGGCGTTGCGGGTCCCCGGGGCCTCACGGGACGGGCTCCCTCAGGGACTGCTGGGCACTGCACCTGCTCGGCGAGGACGTGTCTCAGCCCATGGCGGGTCCAGGCGCTCCGTCGCGGCCTCCCCAGGCGGCGCCTCACCGGCCGGCCTGTCGCGGCGTCCGCCTTACGCAGGGGCCCGCGCCCAGCAACATCGCCTTCCGCGGACTCGCCAGGCTCCGCTGCGCCCCTTGCCGGGCCCCACCGCCTGCGCCGCTGCGCCTGCGGGAGCCCACCGACCACAGCGGCCACCTTCGGGTCCGCGGGACCGGCGCAGAGCGGTGCGGGGAGCAGGAGGCGCCGCGATCCGCGCCCAGGGAGCGGCGTGGGGGCAGCGAGCACCGCGCGCGTGCTCGCCGCCGCCGCCGCCGCCGCCGGAGCCTCGGGGCGCGTGCGCGCGCGGGGGCGGGGCGCACGTGCGTGTGTTTGTGTTGGAGCTGGACCGGCGGCCGCGCGCCGGTCAGTCGCTTTCGGAACGTGCCGGGGACCCGGACCTACTGGGTGACGTAAACTGTCAGGAAGGGGACTCTGGGCCCTTCCCTCCTGTATTACTTCCTCCACTTTCCTCCATCCCTTTCCTTCCTTCGCCCCCACCCCCTATGACGCCCGGAAAGGCTCTCAGGAAAAGTAGCTCTAACTCAATTCGCTGCAGCTGATTCCTGGGCAAGGAGCGTCACACGTCTTTTAATTTCACAAATTAAAGGAATCTAGTGCAATGTTGGCGGGAAATTCATTAGGTTCCCCCTCCTGTCTCTCCAGGGCGACGAAGTCTCCAAAATTTGGGGAAAGATTTGGGAAAGGGCCTTTTCCCCCCGCAGCCTTGATGCCCCTTTACCACCACCCTTGGGATATCAGCAAAGGGTACAGCTCCACAACCTACAAGCCAGATGGACAGGAATGGGGCTGGCGGTAAGGGGAGGTCTTTGGTGAATGCTCAGACTGCAGGATCCCACTCCTCGGACACCCCATTCAGCAATTCCTTGTCCACCTCTGACACACATGCGCACGTGGGCGCACTCAGGGGCTGCATTCAAGCCAGGGCCAGGTTTCCATTCCTGGAAACTTCAGAACCCTCCCCAGCCTGGGGGTCATTCATCCCTTGGGCCTCTGCCTATGGAGCGATATTCCAGCGTAGTTTCACTGCTACCTAATCCTCAGGATGAAGGCTCAGGGGTCTTCTTTAGGGTGGCCTTTGAAACACCAAGAAGCCATTCATAGTATGTGTTCCTGGGGGTTAGGCACTGGGTGAGGGCCATTCAGAAGACCCTAGAGTCTAGGGATGTCCAACCTTTTGGCATCCCTGGGCCACACTGGAAGAAGAGTTGTCTTGGGCCTCACATTAAATAGAGACATGTAATCACAAAAAAAAAATTCTCATAATGTTTTTAGTAAATTTACGATTTTGTGTTGGGCCTGCATTCACAGCCGTCCTGGGTTGCATGTGGCCACTGGCTGGACACCCCTGAGCCCTAGAAGGTATTCAAAACTTTAGCTATTGGGATGGTAGACCCTGAAGGAGAAATTACCTTTTTATTCTTTCTAGTCTCTTACAACAGCAAGAATAAGACTGAAATTAATGTCTCAATACATTAGCCTGCTAAGAGTTTTAAAAAGAATTTATATCTGTCACATATGTTTCATCATGAACTTAAGTAAATGCAGTATCTCTTCAAGGGATATTAGTATGAAAACCTTATGCAGAGTGTGAAAAGGTCTTTTTCCTGGTCATTGCAGGCACCTGTGATAAGGTGAGGAGGGTATCAGGAAGTAGGACACCCTAAAATGACCTTGCATCTGTTCTCTGTTGCTACATAACACATTACCCCAAGACTCAGTGTTCATATGAGGATATATATTCATTGTCGTTCACAGTATGTTTCTGTTGGTCAGAGATTCAGGAGCGCTTTGGCAGGCAGTTCTGGCTTGGGGGTCTCTTAGGCAGTTGCAGCCGTATGTCAGCTGGAGCTACAGTCAGTGGAAGGCTTGGCCGGGGGCGGGGGGGGGGAGAATGAACTTCCACGGAGGCTCACATCCACAACTCAGTCGCGTGGCTGCCTGTTGGCAGCAGACCTTGGCTCCTTTTCATAAGGTCTCTCCACAAGACTGCGTAAGGGGCCCTGGCTGGGTAGCTCAGTTGGTTGGAGTATCATCACAACACACCGAGGTTGCGCGTTTGATCGCAGTCAGGGCACATACAAGAATCAAGCAATGAAGTCATAAATAAGTGGAACAAGAAATCAACGTCTCCTCGCCCCCACCCCAAAGGAGAGTACACAGGAGTGTGAATACCAGGAGGAGAGGATCGTTGGGGCGGGCTATCACACGCATCGTCTCTGAAATCACATCTGCTTTTTAATGTTGAAAAATTTTAAACATACACAAAAGTAGAGAAAATAATACAGTGAACTCCCATATAACCATCATACCTAGTCATGTACCACCAAGAAGTTCCGTCATTTTATTTTGTAACCTGTCCCTGAGAAACTCACGCCCTTCCCACCTGATCCCCCATCTCCCTACCTCTCCTGAGATGCAGTGTTCCAGCCTCTCTCTCTCCCCCCCCGCCCCCCCTCTGCTGTGTTTAAGGGATGGAGGAGAGACAGATACAAAAAAAAGGAGAGGACCCCTTAGGCCGGACACCAGTCTCAAGTGCGGGTGTCCACAGTTTGAAGAGGTCACTACAGATAATGCCCTTAGTCATTCCTTTATTTCCTTCCAGCGCATTCAGAAGTAGCCGTGCCGTTTGCAAGTTTTAATGTGTGTACAGATCACCTGGGGACCTTGTTAATGTGAGGATTCTGAATGAGTGGATCTAGGGTGGGGCCTGAGAGTCCGCATTTGTAACACGCTCATCAGGCGATGGAGACACTGGAGGTCCACCGGCCACCCTTCGAACAGCTAGGGTCACGAGCTCCTGTCCAAATTGGTAGCCACCAGCTCCCTGTGGCTATTTAAATTAATTAAAATTAAATAACATTATAAATCACTTCTTCTGTTTCCCTAGCCTCGTTTCACACGTTCAATAGCCACATGTGACTAGCTGCCCTATTGCCATAATCATGGAAAGTTCCATCTGCCGGCGGTGTGTAGAAAATTGACTCATGATAACCTTCCCACAGCTGCCTTCCAGACCGGAACAACCATCTATTAATCCACAACAAAAGGAGGACGTTGGCAGGATAAATAGCAACAGGTTATTTATAGTGGGTATTTATTTCCTCTTGCTGGAAGGGATCAACCCAGTGTTCCTAAATACAGTTCGGAAGGTGGTTTGGTTAGCTCAGCATCTGCGCAAAAGAGGTTGGCCGTGTCTACCAGGTTATGAGACTGGATGAATTGCTTTTCTCTATCTTAGAAGTATTTTTTTTTTCCCCTCAGCAACTAGTACTGGGTGTCATGACCAGAGCTTAAGACTAGAGGAAGACACCTATGAAGAAGCTACCTTTTGACTCCTTTTGAAAGGCACCGTGGGGCTGGGCACCCTTCTTTATGGCAATGTCGTCTAATTTGCTGGGCACATTTAGGTGTGCATTTCATTTCACATTGTATGTATGTCCTTATAGAACTTTTAATCTACTATTTTGTCTGCTTCTGTGTCCACTTCCTCATTAGACTACCAGCTCCTTGAGAGCAGCGATTTACCCTCGTTCTGGCTCTTAATAGGCATTCAAAATATGTGTGTTGAATTAATTAATAATCATTAAATTAGCATATTTATTATATGGTAATCTCAATGCCTGGTGTAGGCGTAAGGGTAGAGCGTAGGGTTTGGGCTTGGACAAGTCACAGCTGTGTATTGGCTGGTGACTTTGGGTATTTATCCAAATACCCAAAGGTTCGGCCAAAGCTCATTCCGTTATCTGCTAAAGGGGAACATGACTAGCCTCAGAGGCTTATGGGGGGGATCAAACGAGCTAACAGCTGTGACAGCACTTTATCATTTGTAAGTATTACCTTTTAAATTTTTCATTTTCTCCATCAGAGTTAAGAGAGCCCACTCTTGAGGTCCACATGCATACAGGTTACTTTGCACGCTTGTCGCCTCGTTCCCACATTCTAGGGCATTGCCCGATGGGAAGATTCCTTCATGTTTTCAAGTTTTCCCTCTCTGGCTTACCTGTTTTTTACATTTTTTAAACATATTTCCCAATTTTAAATATAATTTAAATGTAAACGTTTAAAACATTTAAAAACGTTCTTGCATTTTGTGGGGAACCCCTGTGGTGTTACTGACAGCACAGTTTTTGTGGCCCTTGGGGTATCTCCAAAAAGAGGGGGCTCTACCACGAAGCTGTTTCAGGGAAGGGCCACAACGAAGGTGAGTTATTAGGTGTTGCTTGGAGCGGGGACAGTTCAGCCCTCGCCGCTGGGCTGAGCCCTTCCCACAGCAGCTCACCCAGGTCTCCCTGTTTGGTTTGCCCCGAAGGGGCTGGGTCTGGGAGGCCCCCCCACCCACCCCCGGCCGTTCCCCGTCCCCGCCTCCCCATCCCTGCCTCCATAGACTGTCACTCCTTTCACCCACCCTTTTAACATTTAACGTGCCCTTTAGCACGCTCGCCCATCATTCACTCTCCGGGAGGCAAATCTTTCCTCTTTGGGGACAACTGACACCTGACTCCCTTTTGGAGGCTTCTTACCCTTTCCCGCCTCCATGCTGCGCACCGATCTGCAGAAACCACAGGCGCGGACGTGAAGTGGAGGCAGGAGCCGAATCCTGCGGGTGGAGGGGCGCCATGGTGTCCGGGCTTTCCCGATGGGTCAGGTAAAGCAGAAGGCACCTTGTTTCCCCTACAGCTCTGGTCAGGCAAACTCCGCTTCCACGGAGGTGGTCATTCCTGATGCTAAAGTACAGCCCTTTCTCGACTTTTGACACCCACGTGTGGCCATCTCAAAACATCCTGCACTGATAGGCATGCCTTGAAATATTGCCGGCAAAAAAATTCATGGTTCAGCCTTTGGGGGTGGGGAGGGGCACGGGGTCCGCGCGGCAGGCAGGCTGCAGCCCACCCGACGCCCTGGGGTGGGAGGCTGTGTTTCCGAGGCCCTGCGAGGGTGGGGCTCCTGCTGTCCGAGCCTGGGCAACCAGGGCGTCCTCTGAACGAGCTCACTGTCCTTTCCATTAAGAAGCTGTGTCGTAAGCTTGACAATATTTTTTTTTCCTGTACATGCAACCCTCTCTTTTGATTTCTAAAGGCTTTATATCTAACGTTAACTCCTAGCTAATGTGAGACTTCTCAGCTAATTCGTATCATACGAACCCTTGACTAGTTTGTATTCTGTGTGGAAACATTCCTGTTTAGGA